TTTGATAGGTCGGGCGAGTCGTTCGAATCGTGTTGTTTCACTCGATCGAAACCCGAGCTCCAAGTTCCCCTTCTCGATATAGGCACTTGGTCAGGCATTCCCTCTTCCTGCTATCAAGGAGGCGTCCGCGAGAGAGGCAACGGCTGTGATCCTTCCCACCACCCACGTACACCCCATTAGGGAGAAAGCTCCAGGTCATCCAGGGCCGCTGGTCCCATCTATCCTGCGCGTCTTGTTTGCAGCCCCAAGGGCCTCAGGCTCCTCAGGAATCGGTAAACTCGCCCACCCACCGGATCAGCAGACGAGCACCAATCTCCGGGGCGAGCAATATACCGTCTCAAATCGAGTAAAACAGATTTTCCCCTGTTACCCCGCCCCTTCGAGCTCACCTATTTCTACCGAACGCGGACGGATCTTCCGCCGTTGGCGTATATCCCCGATTGCTGTTTTCCGTGCCACCCGCGATGTCGTCGTCGTAGAGCAATGAGCGGTGAGCGAGTTTCCATTCAACATGTACTCCTCACGCGTCCGACCACGATGACTGAGTGAACTAGTCAAGCCAGTGTACATAGTCTTGTCGTTCCCGACTCTGAATTTGCCGTGACGCTCGTTGCCAAGAACCTCTACTTCGGACACGAGCTCCGGACAGCGTTTCGCTCGCCTTTCGAATAGGAAGGAGTTTTCAGCGAAGCTTAGCGGGGAAAAAGTGCGTGCGAATGTTTTCCTTTCAGGCGCGATTCTCGCGAGCTTGTTTTTGACCGCAGGTGCTTCCAATCGAACGGTCACTGGAGCCGTGAATTCATGTATCCTCGCACCGAACAGCAGAAAAGGGTCTAGAATTCATCGTCGAGAGGACAATAACAAAGAAGCATCGAGATCGGCCCGTATTGCTGGTCATTGAACCTGACAGCGGGAAGCAAAAGAGCCGAGTTAGGATGAATCTTAACAGAATCTCATCATAAATCCTTTCTCTCTCGCTGTAGGGCTCGTTCGCCATTCATGGGATATCTCACCTCCCCATCTGCTTATTGTCTGCCTACGGATTTCGCCTTGTAAGGATCATCGAGACAGGAATCGTCGTCGGTACAGAGCCGACTGACCCTTGCCTCGATTGGTTTCGGGTTCTGAATCGCTCAACAAAGACGTCGCCACCGTCAAGAACCAATGGCCGATCCAAGAACAGCGTCTTATCGACCTGGGTCTACTAATTTAGGGGAATTTCCCCGTTTAAAGCGATTATCCGGCATTCCAGGACGAATTCGGATCTATCATGGAACGGTCGTCCTGGATATGCTCGAATAGGAATAGCTGCCCGAAAGAAGATCCGTGGTGGATCTATTACGCCACGGATCTTAGTCAGCGCTTCTCGGTCGACGAATGAATCACACTACCGGACCCTGAATTATTTATTAAGCCGTTTCTCCGCCACCCTAGACAAACGGACAGGTCCATAGTTCGTGAGAAACCTTATTCATGCTTCTGCTGTTCGCGGGAAATTCCTCCGTCCTCGCTTTCCGGCCGAATTTCGACCTGCCCGTGGAGCGGGGCTAGGAACTCTGTCTACGATCCTCCGACAAAGCGGAGACATAAAAACGAAAAGTCACGTCTGAGGTTTCCGGGGCGGCTGTTTGCTCAGATCGACTGACTAATACACAGACACCCGGACGGACGGACGGACGAAAAGCGGTCCTTTCTCCTGCTGAAGATTATTGATGACTTGCAGTTGAGCCAAACATCCAGTTAGTCGACGTGGGGCTCGTCGCTCTTATATAAGCCGCATAGTGGACACACCTTTCTCAAACCTTCGGATAAGAAACAAACAAACAAACACTCAAAGTGAAGTAAATAGACGTGCCTCGATATTCCGTAATGTCGAGTTTTCTCTCCCACCCACGAGTTCACTGATATCTCTGTCGCCGGATAAAACGACAGAACGATAACGGACAGAGATCAAAAGAGTTTCGTGGCTTCGGTTTGAATGACGTCCCCCAGAATATTATTCATGGTCGAATATTCTCCGCTGACGTCGCGTCGGTGTCGTTTTCGTTCACCGAGCGCTTGTGGAATTCTGGTGATTGTTCAGTATCTGCTCAGAGCTTTATTTCCGCTCGAGATCGGTTTGGTCGATTCATGTCGCGGGGCTCAGCCACGTGGTCAGAAGCTGCTCTTTGGTCCGGCCGACTATAGTATGGTTCGGTACTGCTCCCTCAGACCACATCCTTGCGATGCGCAAGATCGTGCTTCGTAGGAGAAATCACCTGAACGTCTAGTAGTCGCTTCGAAGAAAATTACCGACGTTGTAGAAGGGGCGATTTGCGGGAAGTATTGGAGTGGAACGAAGCATCGTGATTCACGGTAGAACACGGAAGCGTAGTAGATATGCGGAGATTTTGCGATTGAAAAAACGGATCCGACTGTGAAATAGATTTTCTATATCAACAAAGCTAGCTACCACTTTCGCCACTGCTTATCTCTGGACAACGAGCGACCGCACCGCCCATAATCTTCTGAAGTCTTCAACATGCCGCTTATCTACCGGCAGCAGCAGCCACGACAGCGTTTTCAGAAACAATCACTATTTTGCTCTTTTCTATTGCCGCATATCGTCGCCAGAATGCAACGTGTACGTCGATTCGAAGCCAACGAATGATATCGAGGAATCTACACGTCTAAACTCGAACTGGCTCCAAATCCACCAGCTACGGCGGCCTTCATATCGTACGCAAATGCTTCTCGATTCCGTGAGCGAAACTCTGTCTAGCCGTGTGCTAAGTGAAGCCCCCAGATTTTCCCTCACGTTGCGCGAGTTTCTGTTCCGGGAAGTTTCCTCGTGGGCTCATCGGTAATTCGGAGTTCCGCTTCGATATTGCCGGTATCTCACAGAGATCCACAGATCTCACATCATCCATGGAACGGGAGCAATCCTCCGGGCCGAGCTCAGCACACCGCGAATCCGTAGTTCGGAATCTTAGGGCATGCTCCGAGAGCAAGTTTCCATACCCGCTGGAGAAATCCTCGTTCAATTGAACGGGATATGAGCGCGAGAGAGATCGAAGCCTCTTCGATTTCGCCTTTCATCGGGGACTTGTCCAGGGAACACCCGCGGAAACGCCAGAAGACCAGACCAGAAGAACTAGATTTTCCTCGCAGACGAAAAATGTCCAAATCAACCCGCCTGGAGCGAAATCGTCCAGATCTTCGGATCGATCGGATTCTAATCATATTGTTCTGCCGAGCAGCAAGGAAGAGCAAATCTAAGGCGATTTTAGCACGACGAAATACATGCATGCATAGCCGCGGAGAAAGCCGTGGCTTGGTTTCGTTGTGCTCGACCCAAGCCTTCCGCTCGATACTCGGCGGGAGTCGAAGTAAGCCGAACGAGCTCCTCAACGCGCGGAAAGACGTCTCTGTGTGTGGCGACCCTTCCGGACCCCGGGAAACCTTAGAATAATCCCTTTGACTCGATGCGAATCGGATATTCTAGCTCTAGCGGTCAGCTTATCCGATGGGTCGATTAACACGGTATTGATCCCGATGCTCCGGTATCGGCTGCCGTGGCGACGGTTATCCTAGCCGGGGTTGATTGACATCCGTCAGTCGTACGTCGCTTCGACGGAAAGCGCTAAGCACTATGAGATAGTTACAGTAATTGTCGACACCGGTTTCGTCCACCGGAACAGGAAAATGAAAGCCCCGGGGCAGTAGAACTGAGGTCTGCGAGGAAACCAGAAAGGAAGTTTCACCACAAAAGTGCCAACGCACACGAGCATCATTCTGGTGCGAGATGAAAACGGCGTCGACCAGTCGGCAGCAAGCCAGTGAGCTCGCAAGCGGACCTACGAGCCAGCGGACTGGCGACTGGCAAGTCGGTCGTTCGCTCGGCTGTCCGTCTATTGCTTGGCAGTCGACGCGACGAGCTGCCTCTGGCCAGAAGACGCTTGTGATGTGGAACCCCATCAGCTGATCCCGTTCGTTCCGACTTGCCTCCGACGATTCAAAATGCCGTCGAGTCGATGCTCAGCCAACAATACCCGCGTCGTTGGGCCATGGGTTCGGCGACGCCATTTTGAGTAGGTAACTACAGACAGTGGAGTTGCCAGGCGGCTAGCGAAAAACGCTCCGAACAGATGTTCGCTCGAACCCTATACGATTTCTCGAGCCTGATCGGGAAGAACGCTTTCATTGACCACAGGAATAGGTGGAATGAGAACAGATCGCTCGAATCCAATCATTGAATGGTCGAACGGGAGAGCAAACCGGCGACGAATACGAAAACGTAGGAGGGAATAAATTTCAGAGGTACCTACATACCTAGTTCGATCGGCGGAATCAGATCGACCAGCCTGATGAATAAATTGTTTGGTCGACGAAAGTAGAACTTCGTAATCCGATGTAGGCCGGCTATCGCTCGAGACTTTAAGATCTTGGAAACATTTCCACTGATTTTTTATCATTGACGATTCTCTGGGGCCCGCCATCTCGTCTGTCGACATGAAATTTGATTTGTGCCGAGCAACGTTATCCGCTGCAATCATAGATCAGTCGTCACCAGTCACAACGGGTATGCTGTACCATCGATCCGAGGAGATTTCCAGTACGATCATCGGAAGGAAATGCTTCGTCGCGGCACAGCATATTACGCATAACTCATACGGAGGGGCATGCCAATTAATCGGGTTCGACTCGGTGTTTACTCTAGCGATTCCGCGGTTATCCTCTCATTTGTATATCTCATCGTTTAGTTGGATGGTCATTAGAGATGTTGCTCGTGCTTAAGCAGAAACAAATGAAGGAAATTTATGGAAACAGATGCAAAAACGATTTCGATCCAAACGAGCTGCATCTCGACGAAAAGACGGGGATCTATCTTGATCAGCAATGCGAAGTTCGAGTATTTTCGCGTCCAACAGCGTGACCGAACTCGCTTCGGTGATCAATTCACCTCGCTAGGAGTTGACCCCAGTTTCGTCCTAAGTTTACCGAGAAAATTCAAAACCAACCTGTGCGATGAATTGGATGATTTTCACGAAGATGTTGAGGGGAGTTTCCCGAGGAACGACCGCTTTACTTCCCTTGGGGAACAACGAGTTCACAATACTTTGAAGACGGGTCTGAGTGGCCGTATTACTCTCGCACTTAATACGGATCATGTACACCCACAAGAGTCGATATAGGGATTCCAGGGCGACTCGGCACATTTTCGGATCTCGGTGCTTCAGGTGGGAGAGGCACATGGCCAAAAAACAATGCCAGTTCATGAGGAAGAAAGTTTTCTGCGAAACACACAGGAGACAAGTGACGAGAGGAAATAAAGCGAGCGAGTGCTTTTTCTTCGTGCAGAGATCCAAAGTCTGCGAGTACAACATGTCGACGAAGTTCTTCAAACAAGGCACATTGACTTCATTTTTCACCGCAGCGGCGACTGGCACGAGGATCTCAACGAAGAGTCCCGCGAGAGCGTGTTTGATATCCTTGTCCTTGACCTCGAGGAAGTAGTTGGCGCATTCCTGCATGAATTGGAACGAGGCCTCGAACTCTTCGATCGGAACCATTTTGATCCGGAAAAACTTCATTCCCATCAGCAGCGAGATGATGCTCTGTGTTGTGTAGCCTGAGGGCTCGCGACTCCTCAGCTCCTTCAGTTCGCTCATGAAACACTTGCGCACAGATTGGAATCTGCTCTGAGCCAGAACTCCGATGACCTCAGCGTAGAGGTCGGCGATGATGTTGGAATTCTGTGCGTTCGGGCCCTGTTGGAAACCCTCACGAAACTTGAAGTGTTTGAACGCCAGGCTTTCGACGTAAAGAACCAGATCCTCATGACCCGGGTGTAGAGGGAGCTGCTTGAGAACTTCGATGAGCACCAAACAGAAGATGAACTCAATGGCCAAGTCACGACGTTCAAGCAGATAGTCATGTTCGGATCGATTCTCTAAGTCTTTCGTCGACTTGTTCGATTCTGCCCGGAACCTCGCTATGGGTGATTCTGTCGGGGCCTGGAGAGCGGGCGTTGGAGTTGAGGTGCCTTCAACGGCTTGCTTCTCATACCTGGAATGATTGAAATGTCAGACAGAGGTTTCATTGGCGGCCTCATTCGACAATCGGATCGATTAGGAGCCGCTGAGCGCAACTACGAAAACTTGTCGAGCGTGTCCGGGATTCCGGAACACCGACGAGTCGCGGAGCAGCTGATGAACGCGGCAGTTTGTGATTCGAAAGTTTCAGTCTGTCAAGTGCTTCATTTCATTGAAGCTCAAGACACGGCATGATCTCTTATAATTGTGACAAAGGAACGATTCTTACAGCGGCGTCCACCGCCGCGATAAAATATCGTCGTGGTGAATCTTTAGTACGACTGAGTACTCTTTGACAGAGAAGAAAACTAGCGATTGTTACAGCACGCCATGACCTGCGTGGACGAAATTCAAACGGTGTCGACCGAAGTGTTATCATTCAGAACGAAAGCTTTGAACTTATGAACGATGACCGTAACAAGTTGCGTAGGAGGGCGTAGTCGCTGCTGCCGGAGCAGTCGTTCGCGCGCTTGGCTTGCGTATGCAGCAGACACGCTCCTAACAGTCACTTGTTTCTGCACAGTCCAATCGACAATGAGCTATGTCCATGCAATATTCACCCGAGAGCTATTGTGTTGCCAGGCTCAGACATCTCATCGAATGAGCTCATTCCGATGCACAGCCTCTAGGCAGACCGAGTCTTTCCTCGTGGACCTGGGACACGTTTTTCTTGACCGTTTCTCGCCCATGGAGAAACACCGACTCGATTCCGGGAGGAAACAATGCGGTCCGCACGAAGGTAAATTATCATCATAGTTCACAAATGGCAGCTCAAGAGTATGATCACAGATCACGATTTATTCCTGTGTATTTCCCCCCTAGCGATTCTTTCCCATCGGGGAACCGGGACCTTCATTCCCTCGGCCACTCTCTTGGATCTGCGTTCCCTGATCGAGTACTGTTTCTGATGAAGAATGAAGGATTTCGCTTCACTCCTTTCCGTGGCCTCCTCGGAGACTCGGGAATATAAGTACATATATAGTGGAAGTAGCTTGGGCTATCTGTAGATTGAAAGGATTCCACCAACATATCTGAAGCGCAAGCTTAAAGAGTCGCTCACACCAGTCCAGTGCTCGTTCGTCAGCCTCTTGTAGACGCCGGTCGTTTCGATCGCAACAGGTCCATGACTGATAATGTCGAGAGGGATTACGAGCTTCTAACACAACAGCTTCGAGCCGCGCCGAATTCGCAGGTCTAATCGACGTCTTCGAAGGTATTAGCCGGGACACGGGATCCCTACCGGATGGGAAGACCCCAATAGCTCGAATCGCCGAAACACTTGCGAACGGTACAGCCCAGCGTTTTGCACCGATGTTTCGTGAAGCCTCGTTTCCCGCGGGCGATTTTGAAACAGACGAGCTGTCAGTGTGTCTCGCCGAGTGTTCGAAAACGGTCAACGAAAAGACGAGATACTCCTCATTCAGCCGTTTGTCCCCGGCGAAAGTGTCGTAAGGCCTCCTTTTGTCTCCGTGACAATACTTCAAGGACATGGATTAGCCTCAAGATCTGCGATGGCGGATGAATGGCCTGGGACTTTTAACGCGGCCAAGTAGATTAGCGTTCGCACAGAATATCGGATCCGGGTGTCGACCGTCTACGGCGAAAAGAACTCCAATCCGGCTACCATGCGACAAAAACAATACGGGGATTTGATTCTTGTTCCCAGATACGAGAGAGGGATCGTCTGGAAAACGCCTGGATCTCCGCAGAAGTGGGTCGTCACCGGTCGTTATCGCGAACGGTATAGCAAGGCTCCTCGGATCTTGGAAATCCAAGGCTTGCGACGACCTTCGTGATGGCCGGACAATATATGGAGCATGGAGCCGTATAATTTCGCGAACGTCCTTTCAGAAACTAAGATCGACCGCACAGGCTTCTGAAAGACACTCGTGACTCCGACCCTTGGGAATCCGAGAGGCCACTTCAGTGTCCCACACGTTCGTATCACTCCGCTTGGAAACGGATTGGAAAATTCGGCTCACGTAGATACAGAAGATGAATTGAAGACTTAAACACAGGGTGGGTACTCACCAAGCGAAAAGCGTTTTCAGAAGTGAAGGCAAACAATGTTCAGCGACGCTGCCTAAGGTGCTCAGTAGCTGGTCGAATACTACATCCTCGCCACGCTGAAGACTCTTGCTCAAAGGTCGTTCCAGAGGCTCCGTGAGAATGAGCGCCACCTTCCGCTCTGCCTGAGACGCAAACTCGGCGAAAAGGAGCCGGAGTGCGTACTCGCCTGGTTTGACATCAGTGTCTCCGGCGATCCCGTTCTGGAGGAGGGTCCTCTCTTTCCGTGCTCCCCATGGGAGCAGGAGACTATTCGCAAGTACCGATCTCGAAGCCATCATGAGCTTAGCTTGCTCTGAGCTCACATTGGATTGCTATTTCTCGCCTGGAAATGAAAGAGAATGGATTTATTCCTCGAAGTTCCCTGAAGCCTGGTGAATGCATCCGCGTAGGGAGAGTCCGAGCCGGGGAACCGGACGAGTTTATGACAACCCGCTGGTCATGCTCAAGGTCGTTGAATAGAAGCAAATTCATTCCCCGAATGAATTCCGGCTTTGAATAGGTCCACGAGGGTTTCTCTTGGACTTGAAAAATAGAATCCTTGCAGATCCGAAAATTCGCTATTGGAATGGCTGTAGAATATTCGGCGGTGAATCGATCGAGGGCTCAACCTTGAAAAAGCAGCTAGCCGAGAGAGCTCGCTCGAGCCTGGGATTCGAAAGCCGACAATTCCTAGAATTTGACAACTTCGGCCTGAGAGACGTCTGTCGAGCCCTGGCTAAGAGACAGGATATTCAGAATGCTGATCGTTGTAAGACATAATCATCATCGTGATCGTCATCGTTCCTATCCTTCTCTGAAATAATGGATACGAATGGCGCATTGTTCTAAGCGCAGGTGTCACTTGGACGTAGACCCTGAACGTATAATAAAGAATTGCATGCTGCAAACTGTGATAGATGAGAATCGAACGAGTTTACAACCCTCAGCCACAAATCACTCGCTTTCCATCAACCTCACGCGAACACTGTCCGCGTATGTATGTATCTCATAGCGAGGATGGGTAATGCTTTCGATGCTTGATGAAGAGAATGACGTCTTCCAGGGTATGTTCGAGATAATGCGCATGGAACAGCCGCTCAGGTTCCGAAGTGTGCCATGAGAACTAACGGGGGAGTGTGGCGGACAGCCCTCGGTGTACCTTGGTCTCCGGCCACTTCGTCATTAATAACTCGTCTCAAACACGGAATCGGGAGGAACAGAAAATTCAGCACCGTTCTGGTTCCCACGAGTGCATAAATCACAACGCATACGCGGTCAGCCGAATCTGTCTCCAAACAGCTGATTCAGAGCGAAGCCAAACTTGGAAAGTCTTATCTTGAAGTCACTTGCGACATTAGCTCTCGACGGCTATTATGAGACTGTGACATCTGTCTGTCGGAGTGATTGGTAACGCTTTTGCATCATTACATGATTGGACAGATTACTCATTCCGTGGCGTCGAGGAGAGACGTTCTCCTTCCACGGCATGAATCGTCTCCGAGCGAGATCACCGAGCTATCGAAGATATCCATTCAGTCTGAGATCTGACTGCGATGACGGACGAAAAAATCGAGCTCGACATCGTGAGATATGATCGAACACTAGACAGGTGGTGGTTGCGTCGAGTTTGATTGGATCGAGCGAGTCCACACCGGACAAGAGGCGCAATACTATTCACAGGTGCTCCAGGATCTTGCTGGAGCTATGAAGTTCCACGAAGGAGCTTCATCCCGGTGCAGCGCGAGAGCCCCTTTCATTTTCTGTTGATCTGAATGACCGAACTCAGTTCTCAGATCATTGACACACTGAACTTCGCTCAACGAACGAACTACATTCAAAATTTTCCTTGATTTGGCGTAGGGGCCGTCTGACACGAATCCTTCTTAATCCCACGATCCGAGGGAGTCAGGTGAATGAGCACAGTGTCTAGTGTTCTTACCGCTGAGCTGCGACTTTGCACAGGAGTCGACAATGTAATCCTGAGTTTAAGTGGCTCACTAAACTGTTGCGAACTTAGTCCCATTACACTCGAAACATCGTTTCTGCCTTTCGATCAGCTTGTATCTGCTAGCACTGCACTGCGTGGAATTGTCTGAAGCAATAGACTAACGAGGGGAACGGCAACAAGGGCAACTGAATCGCAATGTGCTTCGGTGGTTCCAACTCTAGGATAGAGCAAGTTCCATCAACTCAACCTGATCGTTGTGGCGGCCACCAGGCTGAGCAGCAGCGGTTGCGACGAATTATGCCTCTCACCCTCTCTATGGGAATGCCCTCGCTCACGAAGAAAGGGATCATCATATACAACCAGACACCGAAGTGGGCTTGCGCGCGAGACTGCACGATAGTACGCCGAACGTTTCGAAGGATCGTACGTCCGCTTAATGAAAAGTACCTGAGCGTGTTCCGATCTTCGGAATCTCCGTGAGAGAAGAACGGACCGTAGAATAACTGGAGGCGGGAAACTTTGGCGCGAGACTTACGTCATCGGTGCTGATGATCTTTGCCTGAAGTTCTATACCGGTCGGGCGGTTTCTACCTGTTTTCCGGTTTGAAGGTCGTATTACCTATCCTTTAACATCAGCGGCTCCAAACCTTAGGCCATTAGCTGCACTCCGCGATTTCTCAGATCTCTCCGCGACGATTTTACCGTGGACTCCCCTTAACCGAGGCTCTATACCCTCCGAATTCTCTGCCTGATGCGGTGCTGTCAACGTTATGAGCTCACGATGTACCTATTGCTTCGTTCTATCTGATATCGTCGAACCTGCTCGCCTTTAGAAAAATTATGTCGATGCAAAGAGATGACTGAGCACGGTCTCGATAGTTCCGTAGCGACCTTCATACATTAATATTTCATTGATTCTCTTCCCCCGCGGAAACTTCCATGTGCTACAGATCGGTATAATAAACCGCGCTCAAACGAAGGCGATGTCGTGTCCAGAGACTGTGAAAAGCTCCGGAGGGATACTGATCAGGATAAGATGGTAGTACCGTCACGGAAGAAATGCCCTGCTGCTCAACTACCCCTCGCGATCAGGTCCCGCGTGTCATGATATCGATTCTTAAGAGACCCGAAGTCCGGAATATTCTGTGGGACGATTCGGGATATAGGATGTGAATCTGTTTTTCCGAGTAATTTAATTTCCTGAGGCATAGAGTTCTACGTTATGGAGATTAGTCCAGCAACTCAAGGTGACTAGTCGGAAAACTCGATGATATTAAAGCGGACTCCGCTCTATCAGCCACCCGAATAATTAGCTAACGTTGGCTATTTCTGCAAAGTTCCGGAAGACAGCTGTCATTCTTACGTCGCGTCGATGCGCTCCGCGGTCCGGATCTAATGAAGTCTAAATCTTGAACTTGAGGAGGATCCCTCGGGTAGGCCGCAGAGGCGAACTCGAGCGCTTCATCTTGAGCCGCGCCCAGAGACGCAGGTTCAGGATGTTGCAACGAGGAGGGAGGGATGATCGGATGCTCGGATTCCCCAACCAGTACCAAAAGCCGCGGCTGCGAAACTCTGCGGCTGACGCTGCTGAAAACCTAAATGAACGAAGCAAAATGAAACTTGTATACATGTAGACCGCATAGACGTCCGACTGGCTTCCCGGGTCCTCGATCACGGAATATCGAGTCTGATGTCGTCACAGGCGCCCTGTCAGCGCAATATACCTTCCAGGCACGAGCTCTCCCTTTGAGGATCGGTCGTCCGTTGAGCCGAACACCCCTGATTGATTGATTTTATTGATTTTATTTCGATCTTCAATATGCGTATATATATGGTCCCTTTCATTTCAGGGGTGAATTTTTTTGCATCCACAGATCATTCATCCGCCCACTTCGTCAAGATATTTTTCGTCTTCCTTAGATCATTCGCGGTAGTACCAGGGTGAAGTCCAAGTCGGTGGGAATATTCTTGTGGGTCGAATCTTCCTTCCTCGCCTTCCAGAACGATGTGGGTGTCTGTCTCTGGGGCTCCGCATTTGGGGCAGCTTTCGTCGATCGAAGGGTCTCGGGCATGTTGTCGACTCCTGGTGTTGAGCATTCCTGCTCTTGCAAGCGCCAAGAGTCGGCTGCCTCGCGTGTTGTCGTATATATTCCTCTCAAGACCCCTTTTGTCTTTGAATTGTCGATATATATGATCTGGAGAGGATGTGTTCAGTCGAGGTAGGGCGGGTATTCAACGGGGATCGAGTCTCTAAGCCAGGGCACTTCTCATGCAGAGGAACGCATTCAAGGTCAGATGCAAGATTGAAGGACAAGAGTTTCTGCTCTCACCCTCACCTCAGCAAACAATTGATCGCCCGGAGAGGTTTCCTTTTTCAGAATGTCAACGTCAATAGATTCGGAGAAGGATGGCAATCGATCGGAAATCCGATCCTACATATCCTCTATCCTCTACTGGATCTAATCGATACACTTCTGATCCGCGACAGATTAGTCACGAGAGAGAGAGAGAGCCCTAGCTGCGACCATCTTAGCCAGCGAGTATTCGGGAACTTCGAGAGAGAGAGATTATTGACGATATACTATATCTTCTCCTGTCTCCCATCACACCGGGGAAGATAATCGGTGCTCACCTGGATGAAAATCAGAGATTTCTTCAACTCGAGGTTACGGTCGATTGCAGAACCAAAGAGAGGAGAATAATCGAGAGGCGTATCGATTTTGGGCCGTCGCCACTGCTTCTCGCATCATTGAGGGTCGGTTCGCCCCTCCTCAGCTCACATTCTCGCTAATCGACGAATAATAATTCGCTGAGTCGCAAACGATCGAATCAAGACGCGGCGCATGCAGATCGTGTGGAGCTCGAAATGGAGACTATACCGAAGCCCTCGGGGCGAGATTAGTGAACTCACACTGATCCCGTGCCTCGCTCGACTCATCTCAAATCACGATGCTTCGCTGATGAAATGTAATCTTTCAGAAACTCCGATGACTTCATTCGAACGGGCTCAGTAAGCGCCCGTGAGATTGATCCGCCATGGACGGTGAGAAAAAGGGATCGTCGTCATTCGTCATGTATGTATGTATGTCTTTGAGCCTGGCCATTAGAGGGGCTCCCAATGAATTGTTCCTATAGAATACCGAAGTTGGGTGGGATCGCGCGGTGTGAAATCGAATTCAGAGACTTCGGAGCCAATGTATCGTCGGGGCTTGATATGCAGAAGCCCCCTGAGCCACCCTATGGAGAACGTTCCTTGATATTCGGCACTTTGTTGCCCACCTTATCCTCCCCGGAGCGAAACACATCGTCGCTGAGTGAGTATCCGTCCCTCTCCTCACGATCCTCGTCGTCCGTTGCATCACTTGCACAACTAATTTGGAGCTATGTACCTCGGTAATCGAGGAGGGGGTCGAGGAGAGGCACGATCGCCGTTCGCGCACATTCGCGACCGAAGCGCATATACGACTCGACCCCCCTCTAATTGCGGTAGGGGAAAAGTCCACGCCGAGAGCTTTGGAAACCGTCCAGTTCTTAGTGCGGTGGTCCTCCTCGAACGCTCTCTGCTCGATCGGTTCCGAGTCCTCGGCAGTCATGAGACTTTCTAGAGGCATGGCTCGTGCATTACGGCATGCTTTCGATGCGCTAGTCTGTTGATGTAGCTCTGCGAGAGCGTACACAAAGCGGAATAGTGCTGACCCGATCCTTCAATCTTCCATATTTCCATACGCTGATCTCCTTCCGCGCGAACGAGGGATGATCTCAGAGAAAGTCAGTCACAAGGATCTTCTACATGTGCCTTTCGCAGGAAGAGAGAGCGTCGTGATACCGGAGGCTCCTCGCAGGCTAGAACTTCGATAAATTCCTCTTCTCAATAAATTCTCCTGCGAATAGTCGGATACACCTCGGCTGCCCCCGCCCGGGACTCCCTGGCCCCCATAGGAGGATGCTCATGCGCACATTCAATTTCCCATGTGGATTCACCTCCGGGGTTCGAGACAACCCCTTTGGTGAAATGATCCGTTCGCATGGAGTGTAACTATCCCACACTGTCATCATGTATGTCTATATATCATTGCAGTCATTTACGCAAGAGTGATCATGGGAAGTATTCCCGAGTAAGACACTGTCGGTCAAATATTCCCGGGAACCCTAGATGTGCGCTTGCCTGGATCAAGAGCGTATCAAGTCATGGGGAGCTATAGCGTCTCTTCGGGAGTTTCCCCTGGGTCTGCCCCCCCCTTCCATAATATATTGGCGCATATTCAATAAACGGGACCCCCATTTATAGTCGAAAATTGTTTTGCGGTACAGGTGCAGGGTTCGTCCTCGCTCGCAGCACACTCACAATCATCTTCGAACATGACGCTCTGGAGTGTATTGACTGCAAAAAAGGATGTTTTAGGTGCGACAAACAAGATCAGTGAGGGGCAGGGTGAAGGTTCCCATTTTTCAGCCGGGCTCAACGAGTGAATGCTCACCTCGTGCGAGTTCCGTGTCTTTCGGTAGCTGAGCCACTCTCAATATCACATAGAAGGCCGCAGTGAGGACGCAAGACAGCGAACTTGCGAGAATGACCGGGAAGTCCAGTTTGTCTCTCGGAAGGAAACAACGATCACCCCATCTGGTTCGTGTCTGATTCATCTGATGATGGAAGGTGGGAAAGCTCGCGATCGAAATCCCGCAGGAAAGTGATGCCAGCTGCTCGAAACATACTGCTCCCCTTGATTGATTCGAGAGACGATTCCTGAGACTCACCGCATCGAGGATATCCAGACATAAGCAATGACCCTTGCGGTTTCCCGAGCGCAGCACGTCGCCGAAATAGGTCGTTAGGTTCCGGAACTCCGTTTCACAGCTAGTGCAGGTGGTGTTGGAATCCCATGTTCTGTCAATGCAGCTAGAGAGTTCATCTCGGAGCTCGAAAAAAACCTTGACTTTCGCCGAAACGTTGAAAGATTGCGGCTCGAAACAGTCTGAAATTGATCAAGTGATGGGCTGCCCCGTCGAAAATTTTCGACATCGGATGCAGGTATTCCCCCTTCCTGATATCAGGATATCGAATCAGGTTCCTATCACACCTGAGCGAAATCGAACTGACCGTCGCACACGCCCTCTGTGTTCCATATTTCCTCGATATGGGCGAAACTTGTTTTCACCAGCGACACTCGACCGTCTTCCACTAAGGTGCGGCATTTCTGGCTCTCCGGAGTTTTCAACTGCGAACCAAGAACACAAGAAGTGACCCGACTGTGATCTCCTGGAATAGCCCGCTGTACTTCTTCGGAGGTCGCAGGTGGGTTTTTCCGGCCGTCACTATCTGAGCCGGCGCGGATCTTGGCAAGAATCATGAATGAATGCTCGCAGGCCGCTCAAATCCGACGCGACGGCTGCCGAGTTCCGAAAGTTCTTCGACCTTTCCAAGAGATTCTCCTCGAAGAATGCGGAATGACGAAATGTTGGAGAGAAGCCTCACTTTTATCAGGTCGGAGAATTTCTTGTACGCGGCTTCATAAGACGGGGCGCATTGACGACAGACTTCGAAGGGTCTCGAATTGTCCAGCGCACATTGGTCGAAGGTCTTCAAGACTTCGCCGAGCTCATCCAATAAGTGTCGACAATCCAGCGGAATCGGGTCGAATTCTCCGCCATGAACACCAACGAATGCCACCATAGCGAGGACGAACGATATAAGATCACCTCGATCCCTCATTCTAGACGGTCTCTGGAAATTGATCAAAGACTCTGAAGCTGCAGTGTACCGAATGACTTCCGGATAAGGGCATTGTTGCTCTTAGTGCGACACGACTCCGAGCACGATTCGAGAGTCTGCACTTCCGGGGATGGTCCATACGAGGCACCGTTCAGTCCCTGAAATCGACATGAGAAACGAATTGCCCTCCGAGTGCTTCGGCGGGAGTAGGAACTCGAGAATCCTCTGAACTCACCCTTTTCGCTTGTTCAAGATGAGCCAGACGGCGATCGAAGTCAGCAGGGATGATTCAATGAAATCTCCGAATGCCATAGCTTTGCTGAGCTCATAGTCGCCGCCTGGAACTTTTGGTCTATGATAGCTATCGGCTTACGATTGATTCGTCACTATCAAATCGAAAGGAGAGAGCATGGCAATGGGAGTCGTCTCCCTTGAGCTCCTCTCCACCTGGTGGGCACCTTTTTTTCGCGTAGATCTGCTGCGGTGCTATGGAGGCACAGCTTCAAGTTGGAGATCTCAGAGCCGCGAAGATATCGTAGCACTCCAATCGCGGCGTCCGCTCGATCTTTATGCCGTCTTTTGCTAGACATAAGGCCGTGTTTTCCTTTTTTTTTAACTGCCACGAAATTCTGACCGGACTCCTTTGGGAGATGAACTGCATCATTTTATTGAGGCTAAGGGTTTTCGATGCTCAACAGTGGCGTCGTAGTACTTGGAACTGTCCCAGTGTTTTCGAGAAACGCCTCTGTGAGCGAAAACACGATAAATCCCTGACCTCCCCTCAACATGGAGCTCATTCTCGTGGGCGGTCTCATGTTTGAGAGGACACGGTTCCATGGGTAAGTTTCCCCGGATTCTTGAGCCTGAGTCATCCCCGAAAATTATCCACTCGCTGTGACCCGCGACCAGATTTTCTGAGAGTCGCTCTCTGAGGATCGGAACGCTCTGAACATTGCAAGTGAAGCATCATCACTTTCTTCCCTGAGCCTTAACTTTGAGCGAAGATTCATTGGACGTATCAGAAACCGGACGTCGCAGCGTGGAAAGTTTGGAGGGTTGCAGCCTAATCCTTCCCGGCCGGCGTCGGCGCGACTGATGTGTGGCCAAATGCCGGAAGCTCTGGGGACGGATGAGAATACCGCTGTGAACAGAACAGTTGGTCGAATGTTGAATGGCGCGCTTGTTTGGCTCTTGGAGTGCGGGATGTTGCTTAAGCCTCTCGATCGCTCGGCTACGGGTCCGAATGCCGAAGTCCGTTGCACAACAGCAGCGGAGTATTGCATTCACGGAGGATTTTCAGGGCGATAGCTCCACTCGAATTTGCATAACGGCATAATCTGTATCCCATGGAACGTGCTCGCCCTTCCCATCCATGGCTGCGCGAGGAACTGTTCGCGAAATCCTGCTTATTGGAGGATGCCATTGCCGGAGATCGGCTTCAGACTTTTTCGAGCGTCAAACTACGTTCCAGAAGTCCTCACCGAAGAACAAGGAGCAGCTCTCGAGCGAGTGCGGAAATAGGTCGCCCACCGGGGAGAGACATCCGTGAACTGCTTGGATAAGATTACACCAAGCCCACGACAACCTTTTTCCTTCGAGCTCGTGCACCGAGAATGCTGCGCGCGGAGATGTCCATCAGGCTCCGATGGCCTCATCGGTCTCCCGCACCGGATCGAAAAGCAGGCGGTCGACATCTAGAATCTCCACGGACCGGATGGGAGCAAGTACCATGGCTACAACCTACCATGATTCCTGATTCCATCCGCGGATACTCTCCTTCACGGACGATAATTAAGTGAGGAGGCCAGTTTTCGCTTTTCTCTCGACTTCATTTCACTTCACATCTGCATAAAACATTCCGTGCGACTACACGTTCTAGACTATACAAAGTGTAACAAGTTTTCACATCCATTCTAGCGATATAGCCAAACTGTCAGCCAGCAACAGTCACAATTGGCTGAGACATCATATCTACACGTGCTCCTTCGATGTTTTTGAAATCCACTTCTACAGAGCCTCGGAAGCTGTTTCGGAACAATTATAAGATTGATAACGCAGGAATAGACCACTACAGCTTCCGATTGATGAACCAATGTGGAAGCGAATTCGAGCTCTCTAAAGGAGTCTGCGTCTTCGGGAGCTCAATTCTCCTGAATATTTACAGGTATAGTGATTTTTACGGAAAGTAAACAGACGCTGAATTCAGAGCGGGGGAATGGTCTTTTTCTCCGTGAAGCAAAACTAGAACCTATTGTCGCACTTCACCCGTGACAACTCGCAAAGAATCTTGAGAATTCACGCTGAGGTTCGACCCGTCGTCTTGGAAGATCTTTGACATGCGGTCCTTGAGGGTTCTCCCTATGGTGAGGAAGACATATTAGCAAGCTCTCATTGTTATCGTGGAACATATCCGTAAGGGAAATAAATAATTTTGTTTAATCGTTGTTAATAATTGTTTTTTCAATCGAATTCTCACCTTCAATGATCGCTTCATCTTTCGGATTTTGAGAGAATCGTGCAACCAAATAGAAAGTGAGGGTGAGGACGACCATCATAGCAGCGTAGATCCAAACCTCGATATCTAATGGGTAGACCTTGCTGCATCCGAAGGTCGACCACTCGACTCGAGTCTGATTCATCTGAAAATAAGGAAGCACGAGAGACTTTTAGACTTACTCAGGCATTCAGAGTACCCCAGGATCGAAGCTTGCCAAAAATGCATGCTCACTCACTCACCGTGTCCAAGATGTCCATACACATATTCCCGGCTGATTTCTCATTCAGGCTGTCATAGAAGCTGGACAGATTACGGAAATGTTCAGAACACACGTCACAAATCAACGATTTATTCTGAAGCTGAGAATCTATGCACTCGTCCACGAGCGCCGAAAGCCGTCGGAACTTATGCGTTGATTCCGAGACTTTGAAAGACACGACGTCTTTGGTCTTATTCATCACAAGACAGGCTGAAAATACCAATTCTTCATTCGACATCATTCCGATTGGGTTCAGTCTTCCCTCGAATGGATTCAAATTGATATGCGAGCTCTCAAATATCCTCTACTATAAAGGAGAAAGATCCCACGGCTCTTACAATCACAATTGGCGTCTTCCCAGGTCGAAGTCAAGTGCCGGAAGTCGCGATTTATGATAGAAATTCGATCGCCCGAAACCAAGTCCTCACTGCAATTTTTCTCTATGGGTCCACGACCCTGGAAATTTGCGAGGGAAAATTTGGAAAACTGAAGGAAGAAATGCGTGAGTGATCCAAATTTGGGTTAGTGACATCGTCAGGTGGTCAGTTCGTGTTTTTGTGTGAGGTTAGGCGAATGATTCATCGAATTGAAGGAGGGAACGAGAATACAGGATCTTACATCTTTTAGCTCGATGAAGGTATTGTAGGCCGATGCGAAGTCCCTGTGACACATTGTGCAAACAGAAAACGGCCTAGCTCTAATGAGGGCACAAACTTGAAATTGCGAGTTAGTGAAGGCGACTCCCATGAGATAATTCTGACATTCCTGACTGATGGCCGCAGCTGTCGGCAAGAGTAGGATTACGAACAAGAACGGCATTCTGAAAAAAAGAAAGCTCTTCTCAGTCTTGAACTTGTCATCTCGACCCTTCCGAAGTTGGTGGGTGTACTCATCTCATCACAGAGGCGACACGTTTGTAAGCCTTAGATTCCCGAACTTCCTCAGTTCTAGACTGTACACTCGGAACGTATGTCAGGACTCAGCACGCGTTCAGAGGTTCCATGATCTACGGCGTTGGCCTTGGTCACTCACCTGGAATCTCCACGGCTTGCGATTGCTTTCCAAAACAACTTGGAAGGATCACACGGAACACGATGAACACAACGGCTGGAACAATGATCAGAACGAGAGTCAGATCAGGAATGAAGCAGCTCCCGAGCTTCTCCGAGGTCTGTGTGAACAGCTGGAGCTTTAAGAGAATGCCTACATATGGAAGGAAGCTCGAACGGCAGCTCTGATCTCTAATCTAGTCGAACCCTCCTCGATCTGATAAGTCTATCGATGATATCGGACTAATCGGACGGACTCTTCGCCGTGACTGTCCGCGCATTCTCGGAAAATCTGGAGAAATTATCGACGTTCAACAAGCAATAAAATGGACGACCGAGTGTTCAGCCCGAATGTACCCCGTATCCCCGTATGAGCAATTTTCTCGCGCTCTTCGTAGACGACGGGGTCTCCGAACGATCTCTGTGGTGAACAGCATTCTGAGAAATTTTCGAGTCGAGTGTCCCGAGAATCGGGGTGACAGACATGCGATGAGAGCTTCTCGCAAGTGGACTTAGGAACGGCGCGGGTCTCTGATACCTAGGAGATGACACTAACCACGCACCGGACTGACCTTTCGTCGAATAATTCGAATTCATCAACAGATGATCTCCGTGGGCTGTATGGCCGTTTCGAGGCAATACGAGTGAATTTATCAACGAGAACTCATTCTCCCATCTCTGTTCCTCGATTCCTCTGTAATCGTTTCCATGGCGTCCATCAACGTGAGGCTCGACGTGTACGCTTGTACAATCGTAGCGCGTATGTGATGATGGCCCACAGCTGCTCGTATTCCAGCTCAAGGGTAAACGCGAACAAAATTGACGCGGAGTAAAGCCATACAAGAATTAAGACTGTCGACGGGCGAGATCTGCGTCATTCGACCGCGAAGCAAGATGGCGGATTCAGAGGCTGAATCAGCGGCGGCTAGTTAGCAAAGAGCACGTGGCTAATAGATAGTAAACAAAACTCTATTGTTTACATATTTTGAGTATGCCTCCCTTCCACTCTCTGATCTTCCATATGGGTCATGGGTCATGGGCGGTTCGAGAGACCATGGCACCGTGGAATCGCTCGAGGCTGGTCACCAGCTTTCCAGGATTGAACAGTGGTCTATGCACTGACCACGCCAATAATCTTCAAAATAAAGATCAGGAGACGAAGAGACTACACCAAGATTCCGTTCCTTCATCAATCATTATCACAATAGGTCCACTTTCTGACCCATCGTCAGGGTTGAAGCGCTCCGGAATAGCTCCGGAGTTCTGGGAATCGGAGATTCCTCGAGCATCCGATGGTTTCAAGCCGCGTAATTATCCCGCGTAATTCTTGTACGCTTTTCCCATAGATTTGAGATACGTTCAATTGTATGCTATCTCGAGAATGCGTACAAGCGTACAAACCGTACAGCTGAGGAGAGCTTCGGCACCGTGGGGACCACTGTTGTCCTCCGTGGTCCTGGTGCTGTTCTCTATAGTTATAGTTTGATCCTTTATGATACCGGTGTGGTCCGTCACGATCCCGGTGTTGTCATTCGCGATCCCGGCGTGGTCCTCCGTGGACCCGATTCCCTTTGATCAAAATATCAGAGGTGAAGAACTGTGGTAAAGACCGCCCGATCCCGCTCGAAATTCCCGCAAAGATGATCGGCATCATTGTCTTCCCCCTCTCCCGTCGACAGACTCCATTTCGGTGCAGTTTTACTCCCTGTACTTCTCGTAAGCGCAACGTACAAGCGTACAAAAGTAGGCCCGTTGATCGCGTTCAAGCGCACAAGCAGAATCTCATGTCTAGTCGATCACCCTTTCGGTTCCTCTCACCCCGGGGGGATTCTCGTAGTCTCGTAGTTTCGAATTCGAAAGCCGCACCGAGCTGACTACAGCGCCATCTAACTATGTGGCAATTTTGCACCGGGAAGACTGAAGAGAGCGGAGTCCCGGGTGCCGGCCGCCGGCAGGCGGCGGAAAGCTTCTTACCTCAGAATAGGAGATAGTCTGCGAAACCCCCCCTGGATTTGTGCCGCTTTTGAAATTCGTGCTCTCGCCTGGCTTGCTGCTCACTGCTCACCCCTCTCCCCACGACGACTCGTCTGCTCAAGCGCTCTCCTCTCTTGTGCTTACTAAACAGAGCAACAATCAACGATTTCGTATATCCCGTCGCAAGCTGGCGGCGAAGCCGGCGGAGTAGATCAGGCCTCCACGTCCGATATTCAGAATGCCGAAGTACTATTGTGATTACTGTGACACATTCCTGACGCATGATTCCCCGTCAGTGCGAAAAACTCACTGCGGCGGGAGGAAGCACAAGGAGAACGTGCGCTTTTACTATCAGAAATGGGTTGAAGACCAAGCTCAGGTGAGATAGCTTTCACTCAGATTCTATTCTTCATCGACTGCATGCTAACCGTCTTCTTCTGGCACGATGCTGTGGATAAGCGCTAAACTCCTCCTATCATGCTCCGCAGAACCTGATAGACCAGACCACAGCGGCTTTCAAACAAGGAAAAATGCCTCCGAGAGGAGCCATGGTTCCCCCTCCTCAGGGAGGTCCTCCTGGATACCCTCAAGGTCCAATGATGATGCCCCCACCGCCGCGCATGGGCATGCCTGGTGTACCACCGATGGGTCCCCCAGGTACTGGACCACCAGGAATGGGACCTCCTGGAATGGGACCTGGGGGCTTGGGACCACCAGGAATGCCACAAGGGATGCCCGGAATGCCCATGCCTCCTATGGGACCGATCAGATTCTTATTTTGATACGAGGCAGGGAGAGAACTGTATGAAAGCTTCTGTGAATAATATTGTAATGATGCCATTCATCCGATTTGTCATTTATCTTAACATCCCGCATTGATCTTTGGAGAGTACAGAGGGGACAGCAGCATGGCATTAGAAACTTCCTCCCAGGATGCTCTCTCCAATCGGTCAGCCGCGAGACTGTTTTGCGTTGCAGCTCTGCTGGCAAGGCATAGTGACCATGACCAGCGAACTCATATCCGAGGAAGCAGCTCAGCCACCCGATGAATGACGCATAGTTCTCGCGGTTCATGAGTAGCATGATCCTCGGAGAAAAAGCGATCACAGCGAGATGTCGCCTCTTTACTCAGTCTGGACTGTTATCCACTGATCCGGTCTCTGTGCGATACCTCTGGGACAGTGGTTCTCAAGGTGGTATACAGAGACTCCTGGGAGTTCATGGCGATTTTCGGCTCTCCATAGCAGCCCATTGGAGAGAGTCCACAGGGTCCTTGGATCTAATGCTTCGAGTCCCTAGAAGCTTTCAGCGGCCCGGAAAACTTTGAGAACAACTGCTCTGAGAGGATATTCCTGAACTCCGAGAGCCACGGTACAATGTACCCAAACAAGGACGGAGGCCTTCGGCTGATAAATGCACGGTCAACAGCTCCTCGTGTGCGAACGCAGAAGATAATTCTTGCTTACTGCATCTCGGGGCTCTCTATTCACGAGAGCCGAACGATTCCCGAAGCGTCCGGGCAGGCTCCGAGCTCGAAGGAGGCCCACAACAAGGACCGGTGCGCGCGGGGTCAAAACCTTGGCTGCTTCCGACAGCGCTGGGTGACAATGTCGCTGAGAGACGCAACGTAGAAACCGGTGTTCTTACGGCCTAACGATTGCAATGTCCGTGGCTCTCGACTCAATCATGTGCGAGCAATCGACCCAGATTTCGTGAACTTGTGGAGGGTTCATACTCCGAGCTGCGGAGTCTGGACCTATCGTCAGTCTGACGAATTCGACGATCCAGTCGGAAATTCCTCAATCATTCGTCAGAGATTGCTGCATCAGGTAATTAGGTGAATATAACGAGGGATTTCATACTGAGGATCTGACGATGCGAGGCTGTGAAAAATACTCTGGAATCTGGAATGTCGACCCTCCATTCTTCGCCCCACTTTTCCTTTCATGGGCCGAAGCGAAGTCAGGAGGCATTCGGCTTTTCGAGGTGCTGCCTGTTACGTTCTCGACCCTTAACCCGACTCGCATCAGACACCCGAGAACCTTTCTTCTGCGAGATTTGTGGGTTGCGGAGAGACCTCTGCGCCTCCCTTTTTTCGAAATTCGCGCTCTCGTCCTCGGACCCTCTCCTCTGGGCTCGAATATGTAAACTCCGTCCACTCTGAAGAATAACAGTTCGAAACATCGGAGCTGACGGAGGAACCGGACCGATCGAAGAGAGTTATTGTTGGGAAGTCATTCGCTCCCGAAGTTCAGGATGCCGAAGTACTACTGTGATTATTGTGACACTTTCTTGACCCATGATTCCCCGTCGGTACGGAAAACTCATTGCGGCGGAAGGAAGCATAAGGAGAACGTGCGGTTCTACTACCAGAAATGGGTTGAGGATCAAGCTCAGGTAAGATGTGTTTCTGGTCGGAAACACGCTTCATTGACCACACTCGAAATCCACTTTGCTATCACCTCGCTATGAGGAAGGCTCACAGTATTCCCTTCTCGCCCAACAGAACCTGATCGACCAGACTACGGCGGCTTTTAAACAAGGAAAAATGCCCCCGAGGGGTGCCATGGTTCCTCCACCCCAAGGAGGTCCTCCGGGATACCCACAGGGCCCGATGATGATGCCCCCGCATCCACGCATGGCGATGCCTGGTGCTCCTCCTATTGGTCCCCCAGGTACTGGACCACCAGGCATGGGACCTCCTGGAATGGGACCCGCGGGCTTAGGACCACTAGGGATGCCACAAGGGCAGTGGCATAACCAGCTTTATTTTCATGTCCAATGAAAATACAAAGCTAACTATATCATGTTTGTGGATATAGACTATATCCACAAAAGTGTAAATAAAAGGTTGTTGCTATTTAATTAACAAAAAGTATATCTGTAGATCTTTCTACAAATATGTAGGTATATATAGTGTAGAGCATCAGGCTCCTCGCTCTCTCAGAGGTGTCGGAGCTCCGCAGCGATAGGCTCGGAATGCTTGAACATGTCCTGAGTCCTCGCAGGCGCAAAAAAAGGATAGAGAGATTTTTCATAAATCCTTCATTTTGAATCGATTCTCGAGAGTTTAGAAGAGTTCCGGGGACGGATGGACCATGATCATTGCATTTTTCATGTCTGACACAGGACCAGAAGCGTTTGCAGGGTTTTTTTTTCGGAGGGGCGCAGACTGAGTTTTCGGGGGGCCGGGGGTCCAAAATGATGAGGCACCCTGTAGTCGAGCATAACGGAATAAATTTTTCTTGGATACGGCTCTGCACAGGACCGATGCGATGCCGCACGATATGAATCGTGATCGACCTCGAGAAGGAGAGTAATGGGCAAAATCTCATTCTAATCGAACGCCCTTGGATGAGGATCTGGATTTGCCCGCGGCGATGCCTCGGCTTCAATTCAAGACGGAGTCGAATCGGTCACTCTGTCAAGAACCCAACGGAGCAGATTCCGGCGAACAAGTTTTCCGATATCGGAACGCGGGATGGCCTCGCAGAACGTTATTCCTCCCTCCAGTTTGTAGATGTCGGGCGCCTTCTCTGCAAAGTATCACATCACGTGAATGAGATCTCTGGAATTATGGGTAGCTCCCATCATGACTGAGACTGCTGATCAACGCCTTAAAACCAGCGCAAAGATCACCGACCCGCCAAGAATTGATGAATAGCATCAGCATCGAGTCCGGAGGAATTCGGTACGATAATGGCATGCAGAGCATTCTGGAGGATAGGGTGCGGGAGGCCCAAGACCGCGACGTCTTTCACGAGTGGGTGTTGAAGAATTTTAGCTTCAACCTCCCCTGGCGATATGGTGGTGAATTTTGTCTTAATGAATTCCTTGAGCCGATCGACGAGAAACACGAATCCCTCATCGTCGACGATGCAGATATCTCCAGTCCGATACCACTTGTCCTGCACCATAGATTTCTGGAATGCATGCACCCGCATCGTTTGCATTTTTCAGAGATGCGACTCCTCTTCCGACGTGACGTCCACGGGCGGTGACAGATGTTTCCATTCTCAACTCGCGGGATCATTTGCTTCTTGGTACCTACCTCGAATGCGTCGGGATCTTTGTAATATCCGATCATCTGATCCGGTAGCTTCACAAGGAGTTCTCCCCTCGATCCTACAGGCAGATCCTCCAGAGTGTTCGGATCAACAATCCGGAATTTTCCGCGAGAGAGAACTTGTCCAATCGCTGAACATTTGTGAAATCCTCTGAACGGATGACTAAACGCTGCGGTAATCTCGGTCTGACCGTACACTTGGCGAAAAATAAGTCGACCTCAGGCATGGGGGGATTCGCTATCAGAGGAATACGCTTTGGATGATAAGGCTGGAATGACAACTGAAGGAGGGGGCGCTCACGATTTCCGAAGCATTCAAGGTCCGGAAGACACTGACGGAGATAAGCGAGAGAATCTTCGGGAAAGACATTCGAAGCCGTCACCAATACTTTTAGCGAACGCAAGGAAACCTTCCCACAGATTTCGCTGCCAGTCTTGAACAAGTTCAGCATTGAAAGGACGATGTAGGGCGTTGTGAAGAATGCCGACACCTGTGGAGGATTCCGATAAGCAAGAGAACTTTGCTCATGTGACAATGAATTCACGATGACTGCTTGACACTCTCCAATCGAATTCTCCGCGGCAGGCGCGCATGAATGAATGAATGATTGTACCTTGTATCGCTCTATCGTGTGCATTATAATCTCGGCGTCATTGCTCTGAGAATGAACGAAATGGAAGCCACGATACGAACAGCTCGCGAAAACATCGAAAAGGCAATAGACATGGTGCAATGCTGAAGTTGATAGTACGACGATATCGCTGTCGAAGGGCATGACATCCGGAGCGCTTTTTGGAGGCGAGGTGGTACTTGAGATCAAGAGAAGTTCATGGATTCAAAATAGAGACCAAAGACTTTCGAGGGAGCTCGATTCGAACATACGACTGCATGAGGACGCCTGCGTTGAGAGTACGGTGCGTGTGCATTGCTGCTTTAGAGCGTCCTGTAGTTCCGCTTGTTCTAGGCATGTACGCCAAGATGTCCGGCTGCACTTCGATTTCAGGAGCATCTTTAGCGTCTAAGACGCAGAGATATCCGAAGGAGAAGACCAGGGACTCGGTGGATGATGTACGATTCTCGCTGTCGTCGTCGAGTACGATTATCCACTGAAGAATCAAAGGAAAAAGATGATACTGTCGCGTCGCGCTGCTTTCCGTGACGGTGATTCAACGTGAAGCTTAACTCACCCATCCGGCTCCTATTCTACTGTATATGTACCTTGATGGAACTCGAGGCTTCCCGAACTTGGAGAGCCACGGAGAGGTTCTGCTTAACACAGACGAAAGCCCTTGGCTCGTACACGGACGTCAGGTCCTGGTATTCGTCTGAGTCGGGATATCAAGGCTCTTGTTATTTCGTGACGCGTCATCCAGCTCCATCGGAATGACCTTCCACGTAATCAGATAGCTCTCGGATTCCGATGGGAAACTCAAAAACCAACCTGCGGAGAAACCGAAATCCAGGCCGCTCCCCACAGCATTGAGTGACCAAATCGCTGAGAGCAATAATGGCGTGCGCACGGTGTTCAGGCAGCAAATCGAGACAATATCGCCGGCCCTCAAACCGACCGCGTGAAGAGAATTCACCAAGATCTTGGAAAGTTTTGCGAGATCTGATCCCGTGTAGCTGAGTCCGGACACGGCGTCAGTCTGAAGAATTGAGGAATTCGATCTGGGGAACTCAATTTCCAAATCGAGGACCTATCCGTCTTGACAGCATCACGAGATCATGAAAAATCCCTATCATCCACCTGTTCCCACGAGGAGGTGTACTCACGAACGTCGTCCTTCCATTCTTAGCCCAAGCGCTCCTGAGGAGAAGGCCGTGGTTGTTGGACGTCAACTCTTCATCGAAATCTCCGAATGGAGACGTGTAGACCGTCATCTTCCTCCGCTGTAGAAATCGCTCAGTCTCGCCCCAGAAGTCGTCGCAGGCAGAGATAGATCCGTGAGAGACTGAGCTCGTTGGCTGGCTGCCCCAGCGATAGAGCCGAGTTTTACAGCCTGACGAGCAAAATGCAGCGATGACTTGTAGCTAATGACTTGAGACTCTCTCTCTATAATGGACTGTTTGTTTTCTTCTGAGCGGCACGCAACCGATGTGCAAGAGCAACCGAAGACGGAGATGCGCGATCCACTGGGCTGAGTGAGCGTGGCAAATCACGGCGGAATGGTTCGATTCATGGGTTTCGGATGACGATGAGCGATACCTTCGGATGAGTCGCAGGTCTTCCTAGAGAATCGAGGACGATTGCCATCAATACGAAGGCTACATGGGAATCTCAAAGATTAGCGAGGAAACGCTGTCGAGTGCCGCGAGTTTCCGAGAGAGTTCCTGAGCTGAGCCAAGTCGACGCGGGTTGCCCAGGAGCTGTGAGTTAGATACCGCTCTTCGCCAAGGGATTACGCCAAGGGATTACGCCAAGGTGTCTATTCGCTTATTTCGTAGACTTGATTGGGACAAGAGAAAAGGGATTGCAAAATGTTCATTGGGCAAGATCTCTTTCGGAGAATCAAGTCGGAGAATATGTACACACAATCGAAACAGACAGAGTTCTTATAGTGCCTTAGTGGTGCGATTCGATTTTGATCCGCATCGCCCCGCAAACAAATCATATCATCCGACGAGCTAATGAGGCAACCTATTAGGGAGGTCGCTGCATCCGTCGATGAGTCAAGAAGCCCGGAAGATTCGGCCTCAGAGTTGTAATGCAGTACTGTCGTCGCTTATCGGAGATGAGACGATAAATACCTACTTTCTTCTCTATCAGAACTCGAATTTTCGAGGACGTAAGAGCGAACCGGCAGTAATTCGGAGATTTAACACGAGCCGTAGTAGCATCTCGCATAATGGTGAGCGAGAGAGGAAATGCAGCCTACTGAAGAATGACCTACAGTCGGCTATTGGTGAGGGGTAAAAACCCAAGGCCGTCACCACGAGCTGGGCAAACACAACGTCCCTTGATGAGAGTGATCGATGCTCCACAAGCGAAACGAGCCCCCTAATTGATAGGAAACCTCGGAATCGAAAGGATTTGCGATCGCATCTGTCACCGTTCCAATTATCCCTCGGATTGGATCGAACTCCGCATGATTATAGAGCGTTTCATCGAGAGAAGCATCATTTTTTCTACTCCTGTTCCCATAACCGATCTCTGACTGGGGTTGACGAGACATTGTGCTACCAGTGCGTAATCCGGGGCCCGAGGTCCGGCCATGGTGCTCCCCAGCATAAAGGTTGGCTTCTCCCTGCATTCGCCCTACACCTGGAGTCAGATCGATGGTCGAGGAAACAAAGCCTACCAAGGATTGACATTCAATCCTTTCATCAACATCACCAAGAGTCTCAACATCAGTCTCGATCTCAGAGAGAAGACAGGCGACCAGTGGGGTGCCAGACTAACCAATGGAACTTACGTCGGGGTTCTGAGAGGTGCCCACGAAGGTAAATTTCGATTGCATACTCTGCATCTGTTCATCTATTTCAGCTCCTTCTCCGGAGCAAGGAGACACCGAAGCAAGACTTTGATGGGACGATGCCTCGGACCGTACTACATTTCCGATCTCAGAAAGCTTTTTTCTCTCGCTGTCCAGGAGAATTCGACATCGCTATGGGCCCCTACTTCCAGAGCAGCATCATAGATTCTGAGCTCGGAGCATCCACTCCCCATGCCTTCTCGAGCTTGTGCTTCCTCAGCGGCTACGGGTCTTTATACACGACCAATTTCGCAAGTTCCCCTTTCGATGCTCCCGTGTGGATCGGAACCGGTCTGTCTGGTCTCATCTTCGTACTCATGTTCTACATCACTCAGGGTGGGAACTCGAGAGAACTCTCCCCATCAGCCGCTTTTTTCCTCATGATCTCATCTTTCCTCCAAGAACCAGTGGATCAGCGCCGTTTCATCAGAGCCTCGGCGCGACTCGCTCTTATTTGTTGGAGCTCCTTCGCCTTCATCCTTCTGCAGTCTTTCTCCGGTATTCTCCGCTCTACGACCGCCGTCAAGACTCCGGTTAAAATCATCGATACATTCGAAGAAATAGCTTCCAGCGATAGACTCGAGATATACGTGACTGAAGGCACGCCGGCGTTGACACGACTCGCTGAGAATCGCGGGGAGCTCGTCGAACGCATAGTGAAGAAGATCATCAGAGACAAAACGATGGTGAGTTTCCAAGAAATCCAAACGAACGAGGTGGTCCAGAAAATTATGAAGACGAAAGCTGTTTTCCTCCAAGAACCGGAAACGATGCTTGCTTACTTTCCGCCTTTCTGTGACAAATTCAATGGATTTTTCCACATGAATGAAGAGGATTATGTGGAAGCTCCGCTCGTTTGGTATTACTCTCCGTACATCGATGCGGACACTAGACGAGCCATTGAATTGAAAGTTAAGTGGACTTTTGAGATGGCAGTTCCCTGGATCCGCGAGAGAGAGCGTGTTCCGACTCCCCCGAAGTGCTTCACGTATGCTATGAGGAAGACACCGATAAGCGAGAGTGAGAGTTTCTCAGTGAAACAGCTACTTCCGTTCTTTCTCATTCTCATCGGGGGCTCTTTCCTCGGATTCATAACCCTAGCCATCGAAACGATGTTATTCGCCCTTGATTTGAAATCGGCGTCCGTGCGCCGCCAGCCGCTTAGATTTATGACCCATGCCTGAGTGGAGATCTCACAATTACTCACGAAGGATGAGGGGTGAGAAGTCCCGTGTCTCTTCTAGCGTGGAGTCATGGTGAGACATTGAGAGTGCGAGTGCCCTCCCTTTCCGGAATAGGTTTGATTATCTCTCAATCATAGCCATCACTACAGGAGTTTATCTCTCCGAAAAATCTTGACCGAACAAGAAGCCTCTCGAGAGCGGCGCTATGGGTATACATATATTCATATACGTCTCTACATGTGGAAGTGTAATAGCGCTAGATCCAAGGCTTAGGACCGGAATCAAATCCGAGTCCGGACAGAGAATTTAGCTCTGAATCATCTAGCCATCAATGATCTAACCTTCCATCTTGATCTTATGGGTAGATGACACACGATAAATCAATTTGATGGACCCTATATGAATAAAGAGCCTTCTATTTGATTAGATCGCAGCTGTTTTATTGAGACGCTCAGCCCATGCGGGAAAGGCTCCTGTTTCGAATATGGGGTCTGAGCAGAAGAAAATTGCGAAGCCGAAACCGATGATGGTGCACAGTTTCACCAATATCCCGGGCACAAAGAGGTCCTTGATTTCTAGGCGAGTGTGTTCGTAGATAATGGTATTCGCGGGCGTTCCGACCGGGAGCAAGAAGCAGAAATTGCTGGCGATAGTTGGAGTGATCATGTACAGAAGGGGATTCACGCCGGAGCTTTCGGCGAATTTCGCGAAGATCGGTACGAGCACCGATACGACTCCCGCGTTGGCCAGTACCTCGGAGAGGAACGATGCAAACACGGAGAAGATAAAGGCGACGATTTTCGGATTCAGCGATGACAACACCATCAGATGTGAGCTTATCCAATCCGAAAGACCGCTCTGAGCGGCAGCCTCAGCCAACGCGAAGTTGCAGCCTATCAGTAGGATAACCGTCCACGAGAGTCGAGCTTGGATCGCATCCCAGCCCAAGATCGGGGGTCCTCCAAGCTCCGTGGGAACCCGTGGGAGCACAAGGAGGAGGAGCACGACGGCCACGGCTACCGTCGAGTCTTTGGGACGGTATTCGAAGAAAGTTGCCCAGCCTCGCATGAAGGTCGGATCCCGTAGCAGCCAGAAGATCACGAGCACGACGAATAATGACAAGACCGCACTCTCGGCAAAGGACATTTTCCCGAGAGCTCTGTACTGGAGCTCGATAACGTTGCCCGCTCTCGTGGGGAGTTTGGGACGCGCGCAGAAAAATACTGCCCAGACAGCGAGGTAGCTGAGCGACAAACTGATGACGGTGATCGGCAGGGCGTACATCATCCAGGAGACGTAGTCGACCGGCGTCCGCGCTCCGGGGTAGAGGAAGTCCAAGATCGAGGTAAAAACGAGATTCGAAGCTGCGCTCGTTATCGTGGTAGTGGCTCCGATGTTTGCTCCGAACATCACGCTTAGGAACAGGCAGAGTCTCACACGTTTCGTTTGCATCGAAGTCGTCTCGTTCAGAGACTTGTTCCCGATCAGGGATTCCGACTCGGCCTCGGGCATTTTTCGAATCTCCGTGCAGGAATCCTCCCGGAGAATATCACCGAACAGCTCGTCGCAGATACGATCCACCACCGGAACCATCATGGCCGTTATCGCTACGTTGTTCACCCAAATCGAGAGGAAACAGGCGACAGCCATCACCCCCATGCACAGCGATTCGGGTTTCGTTCCGAAAACCATGAGACCCGAGAGCGCGAGCCTGCGATGCAGATTGCACTCGACGATCGAGATTGCGATGATGAGTGTGGCTACAAACATCATGTTGGCTTCTTGCATGTAACATGACGCTGTTTTATCCGCCGAAAGCACGGTCAGGGTCGGAAGGAGAACGACCGGGAGTAGGGAACATCCTCCAAGGGGAATAGGCTCGAAAATCCAGAACAGGGCTGTTAGAGCTAGAACGTATGCACACCTGATCTTCCGATCTTCGAAGCCGAATAACAGAACTGGCAACAGAAGGAGAGGTAGCAGACCAAAGCAAATTCGTCGAAGGAGCGACATTCTCCAGCGGTCTGATAGGAGTGCCGTCTTTGATATGTCTTTGGTGGCAATCTGGTAGCCTTTATGAGGGTTCTTGAGAGAAAACCGTAAAAGGTAGATCAAGGTCCTGATTCGAAATTCGAGCTACCGCGCGAGAAAAGCCTCACAAGCTCGATCATTAGAGGATTCCTTCTGGGCCCTTCCTGTTCACAGGACTCCAACGTCACCTCGCTCTGAGATTCCGCATTGTATATGAGGAAAGGAGACAAGATCCAGTGCTGCATGACATCGAGGTCTCGGATGGATATCCTCGTTATTCAGATGCATTCGAACATTCGAGAGGTCTAACTCTGGATAAGCTAGACTTCTAGCTCCGACCCCTAATCCTACGTACCGAACTCGACGGACCAAGAGGAATCTATACCCCCGTCAGCGGACATCGCGCCTCCCGGTAAGCGCCGCTGCGGCTGATCGAACAAACCGGCCTCGAACGAGCGCATGAGAAGTGCTACGGGGGATGCACCTCTTAGAGGCGCCAGATACGGTTGTGCACGTACGGGAAGGGGCGGGACAGTATCCCCGAATTGGGCTGAAACCTCAAGGAGGTCCCCGGACAATGCGGAATGTGTGCGTTGAACCAATCCAACAGGCCCGGCGGAAGGGTCATTTCACATTCACACCGAATGAGAGAATCCTCGCCGCGGGAGTTCTCGCGGAGCCCCTCCGAAGCTTCTGTGTGGGGAACCGGGGTCGATAGGATCACCGAACTCCGCAAGAGTGAGACCTGGAAGGCAAGGGCGGAAGGAATGCTAAGGAGCAGAAGAATTATCGCTGAGGTTGTCCGAGTCGGCCACCTTTTCGGAACTGCGGAGAAGACCCGTCTCCTAGCCGGAGGCTGGTGGATTCCTTGCGAAGCGGAAGACAGAGGATACCAGAACACTGAATCAAAAGCTCAGCATTAGGAAACTGTGAACCAGACATCTCTTAAGACGAAGCTCGTCCTCCGGGACCCTCATCAAGCTTACTGGGTCTATACCATGTCAATGAAGACGGCGGACACGATGCTGATTAGAGCGTACCCTTGCATCTTCGAACCCCTGGGAGGTACCCAGATATCAGAGGACGCTATAAAATGCGCGTCCAACCCCTTCAGGGGGAGTAGGACCAGCTAGCAGGGAGGGAAGAATCAGAGGGTGCCGCCTCCTTGGTAGACACCTTTGTGAAAACTCGCGCTCGACGGATGGCGGTAGTGATATGAGATCAAAGCAATTGTGAGCACTAGTCACTCATGAAATGCAGCCGACGTTGTCTCTCAAATCGATAATTCATACGATAACTCTATAGTAGCAGGATGGGACAAGAAGGGCATGAAGTCTAGAATGAGTCGCTCTCGAAGTGGAGATGAAAACAATCCGAGGACTCGTTTTGACACGAGACTGCCCTCGAGCTACGAGAAAAGTAGTCTGTGTTTCCCCGAATAATCCTTGGGTACAGATTAGCTGAATAAGCGCGAGAGCTCGCAAAGCCCATAACGCTCCCAGAGGCATGATGCATCGCGAGAACTAGTTTTTCCCGGCTTAGAGATTCCATCGGAGCAGGTGAATTTGTCATCATCAGCGACCGAGTCATACAGTATGATTCCCGTCGCGTCGGTCCTCCTCTGCTTTTGGCATTCTCAGTTGAGCTCCCGCTTCCAGGAATCGATAGAATTTTCCCATTGAGTCCCGTTATAGCAGACATCGCCCGATTAAGGTCTCGAGTCGTGTTTTTGGGGGAGAAGGATAAGGAGGGAGCGCTACTTCCCCATCATTCTCGTAAGTCTTCCTTGACCGTCGGGAGAGAATATTAGGTTTATTGATTGGCTGCTTGGGGATCGAGATCAGGATTAGGGAAATGATGCTCCTGATTGGACGAATAGACCGCTCGATTAGGCGACAGAATCAAAGGGGTCATACTTACATGATACTGCGTGATGTTTTCCTCTTTTTCACTCTCTGCGGTGCGGAATGAGTGATGATATCGTTTCGTCTGATTGATCAAAGGAGTCATGGCGTCGAGCTTCTTCCAAGCAATTCGTGTTTTCATCTACAGTATGACCTCTCCACAACGAACCTATGACCTCTTCGCTGTAAGGTACACAATTTTATCCAATAGGTACAGCGAAATCTCGTAATACGGAGCCTCGCGGAACCTAGAGAATATGGTCGTTGCAAGTTCGCTGTGAGGAATGTTTTCCAACTTTGACTCAATGGCAAGCCCGCCAAGTGAAGGGGGAAAGTGTTCAGTATACTGGAAACTCGTCGATGCGGTGGTGATCGTTATAACGAGATGTCGCTGTATATCGGTCGATTCACCGTGGACCTGGTCGCCGAACAAGTCCGGTACATAGAACACACGTTCTAAGGTCGATAAGGTGTGTGGTCGGTGGGAACCAGAACGAAAGAACAAAGGGCTACAGTGTCCGGAGGTAAGGCGTTTTGGGCGATTCGGTGCCTGAGCCAGGATTTCATTTGAGGGGGTTGATTTCTGATGCTTCGGGCGCTGCTCCCTGGATTGGGAGCGACATTTCGATGGTCTCCGATGCGACGCGTCACATCTCCAACTAGTCTGCCAAGCCGATTCTCAACATTGGAGGGCTCTCCCCTATTCATGAAAGACCTGATTCCAGTCCGCATAGACAAGGAGTTCAGCCTCTTCGAAACCTTCATTCCATGCCGAATGTACTCAGCTCCCGCTGGCGCTCGAGCTAAAGCTTCTCGAGAAAATGACGCGGAACGACCGCTAATGATGCGCTGACGGAGTTGCATCTGAAGATCGAAGGAGACCGAAGGCTTCGACGCGATTCAAGGATTCTACATATTAAATATCCGGAATGCCGAAGTCGCACTGATTCCAAGTGCTTACTTCTTCAAATCATCAATGATCGCTTCCCGCGTTGCCGGGCCTCCTGTTTCGTCTTCATCCGTAGCTTGGAGGTTGAGGAAAAATTTCTCCAAGACCCATCCGATCCACTCTAGTTCGGATCGCCACATGATCGATGTTCACAGAGGATTCAGCTCGCGAGTCGGTCAAATCACATCTCCGCCCAAGACGGGTCATGAGTTCTCCATCCGAAAACAAGGATCGGGCCGAACTCATCCTGACTCCCATAACACGAAATCTGCTGACTTGCCCCAATTGTACGTAAACTAGAATCGCCTGCATTTAAACATTACGCATGTCTGTGACGTAGGGTAATGACGTCGCCGAGCCGTATGTACATAAAAAGGTATATTTTTAACCTCGCCATCTAGATGGTGAGATCCCGTCATTTTTCGTTCGTCGCCAGAGATTCACCAGAGAGAGCTTTGCAGGCTGTGCTGTGAAAATTCCACCGGGAAGTATCATTCGAGTTTGCATCGTTTCGTGAAAAGCGGAGGATTTTCTCTAGAGCCGGCCCAGCCGCCGTTCCAGGACTGGCTTATCGAAACTAGCCTTTCCCTCTCACAATTTCAGGAACCTAGAAGTCATCGCCGCTCGTGACTTTTACGGCTCTTTTCGGCCGCTAATACCTGTGTTGTCGACAAGCATTGTGGAGTCCGCGACTTGCGAAGTTCGCTCAGTTCACCGACCAGCGTTCGTATTGTCGGCGCGCGAGACTGTATTCCAATTGAATCTTCCGGCCTTCCGACGGTACTCCGGTAAGTCAGTGTTCCTTCCAGGCCTGCGAAAGCTTCACTTGAGGCTCCCTGACGAATGCTGCGCGGTCCAGATCGATCTAGAGCTGTTCCTGGGCTGAGGGCCGCTGGGCAATTTTCTGAACTTCATGCGACAACTGGTCAAAACACTCGTCGCGCTTCTGTCCCGAAAGAATGGATTAGGTGCGCACGTGTAAACTTCGCTGTTGTTCCTCCCGCGTCCAAAGCACAAAGCAAGGTCGACGCTTACGTAAAGCGTCGCCACTGGCTGAGTAGACGTCTGCGCTGGCCGCGGTCGTCGGAGAAGTTTCCTTAAACTTCAGACGACACTTCGACTGTGAGATCTTCTCCCGAGCAGACGTTGGTGTTCTCAGAAAATTATACTCCTCGTCGTCATACTGATTACGACTCTCAAGCGACTCGGTCTCCATCTGCGAAACGCTTCACCATTTCATGATCTATGACTCGAGTTCCCTCTCTTCCACTCGTTTTCGGTGACAGAACATTAACCGCTTCCCGTGTTAGGAATGGGAGGATCACGGACTCTCAAACATAATCTGCCTGTTGTTCGGGTAGCATCGTTTACTCATCAGAACTCTGACCAGACTTCCGAGCGCCGTTTCGGCCGTTTCCGAGAGTTAGGCTGTTCCTCCGTCAAAACCCTATAGTATTTTGTCTCTGGAATTACTTCCTCCTTCGTGGATGACAAAAGATGTTTGTCGATTTAATTGGAGAGAAATACGGGGACAGTGTCTGACTGACGTCATCGCGAAGACAGAGATCTTGGAACGCGTCTTTCAGCGCTGCGCGTTTTGGCATCACGACTGCACGATTTGCGAAACTTCTGCGAATCCTGACGAGTTTATCTGTGGCGCATTTGTATATTTCCTCGTACAAAGCGAAGGCGCTCGCTTATCACATCGTGGTGTTGTTGACACTTGACCTCTGGTCGGTAGCACCGTACGTTTTATACGTCCGCCGTTACCGTTCGGGTTTCAATTCGCTCATTCATTCATTCATTCATTCTCGCTACTGCGCCGCGCGATCGTGGCACTCGAATCGTTGAAATCGGAAGTGCCATTCGACTCAGGCTCTCGACAAGATAGAGTTCCGTCGTTGTGTTCAGGAGAATGGGAGGACGAAGAAGCGATTTGGAATGATCCGACTAGGATCGGCTTGCCACTTCGACGCACTTGCACCGGTTTCGCTGGGGCTGAATCAATCTTGAATGCCTGATTCAGAAGTCTCATTGACGTCCGAAGTAACGGATCAGTCACTCCCATCTCATTAGTGAAGCATCACTGCAAA